CCCAGGGCTGGCACCGTGCATGTGCCGCGTACCCGGGGCAGGGGCCACCCACGCACCCTGGGCCCAGGGCCAGCACCACGCACGTGCCACGCACCGGGGGCGGGGCCAGCCCAGATGTTTCTGTGGGCGCACATAAATGCCCCAGCGGGTGCCATGGCGCCCGTGGGCACCACGTTGGGGACCACTGTGTTAGTCTATAAGGTGCCACAGGACTCCTTATCGCTTTTACAGTTCTCCAGTCATTCCTGTGAAGAAAAATCAACATGCCCTGTACTGCCACTAGGCTAAGTACTAAAAAAAAAAAATTAAACTAAGCCGTGTTGGCTGGTGAGACCGCCATATCTAGTAATGACTTTAAAACCGAAACATTCCCAATTAATACCTTATGGGTATTTTTAAAATGTAAGCACTTCTAAAATACTAAGGACATGTATAACTGTAACAGAAAAAAATAAAATAAAAGATGTGTTCCTGTGAACCACTAGCAGGAAATGTGAGGAACAGTTGGGGGAGCCAAACTAACCTTCTTTTTCTGTATCCTGATCAAACTGGAAATTCTATAAAAGGTTTGGATTTAATCAAAGCCTCCTGATGAGCGTCTTTATCAGCAACAGTCAGAACCTTGCCAGACATCAGAGATCCCTAACACAGAAAAATTGTCTTACCTCTTCATTTCTCTCATAGGGAGCACTCCTCAAAGATGAGTAAGCTGCAAACTGAAAATGAAGCTGATCCTCCCACTCTATTAATGATGCCCTTGAGTCGTCTGTCCACGTTAACTATGCCAAAGTTTGAGAATGGAAAATGCAGGAATCTTCACTATAACATAACACCTAAATAAAACATCAAAAAGCATAACTTCAATTCTGAGCAGGAATAAAGACACAATAAAGCTACTATAAGTCAGTTTGGCCATAAATAGATAATGGGTGGAAATTAAATTTTAAAAAATTCTCACAACAAAATTATATATTTCTGTGGGTAACATCAGACTGCCAGCAATGCTTTCGTCTAAGAAAAAAAAAATAAACAAAGAGAGTTTCTTTTTTTCCTGAGTTCATGGTTGGGAGTCCTCACGGATTAGAAATGATGGTATAGGTCAGATCCTCAGCTGAGGTAAATAGCATTGATCCACAGACTTTACTGGAACTACGCCATTCACGTCAGCCGAAGATCCAGCCACATGGGTTTAGGACATATATTTTATATTGTAGTGAGGGAGCGAGAAATTTGAGAATTTTTAAAAACATTATGTAACTGTGTTAGGCCTCTGTGAAATCACTTGGAATCACTGGTTACAGGACAGCAACACACTTGAACAGTAGTGTCATTAGTAAACACCAGGAGATATTCCATGTATCTGCGTATATTTCATTCTGCATATTGTGTATAATTAAAATGACTTTTCACCAGGCAAAAGGCAAATAAGTGGACCTAGGAATATGAAAGAATTAACACACACTTGTTTGTTTTGGTTACTGTGGTGCAAGAGTCCCATTAATTTAAGGGAGTAAGGACACCAGCGCAGGAAACAGTTGGGTTCACAATCACAGAATAGTTTAGTTACACTGTCTCCTGTGAAGAATTGCCTGCGACAGTGTAATAGTTTGTGGGGTAAAACTCACAAAGAGAAACCCATCGTAAGGAAACTTGTTTTTCTGTAATCTGAAGGGGAGTCAGAAGGAGATTTTCTCAGACTGAAAGCTGAAAAAATGAGGATATTTGGATGTAAAGTAATAAAAGTATTTGAGAAGATTTTTGATCTTGTTAATTCCTCTCTAATGATGGCAACATAATGTAAGCTAAATGATGCATTTTTGGAATTTAAATGGCAGTTATACAGACATTTAATATCAAAATGTATTTTACATATATTTTGTGAATTATAAAAATAATCAAGGCACTTAATTTTGAACAAAACTACAATTTAGAAGGTAATTAACAAAATTGCAAATATAATAGTATTATGCTACATTCAGTCTGTGATTAGAATAATTTAAAGAGGATGATTCTTTATCTTACCCAATCAATGTATCATTGTATGATGTATCACATAGACTATGCTGTACTAGCAGACTTACCCGTCTTTTCCCGGGGCCTTCAGGGCAGGGGGCTGATGGTGTGGAGTGTACAGGAGTCAGGACAGGGCCTTGGGGATGTGTGTGTGGGGGGGAAGGGGGTAGTGCAGGAATCAGGAGCAAAGGGAGGTGAGAGAGTGTGGGTTGGGAGATGAGGAGGTGCTCAGGGTGGGGGATCCCATCCTGCACAGGCCTTTTCTTTTCCCCCATTTTCCCCGGCCACTAGAGGCATTTTCTTTCCCTCTAGCTGCCTCCCCAGCCACCAGTGTTGCTCCCCTTTCAGTCCCTCCAGCTCTTGCATCCAGCACTGTGGCCAAGGGCCAGGAGGCAGGGAAAGGATTTGGGGCAGGGGGCTACTTACTCCGTGTGCTGGCAGGCAAGATGGCAGAGCCCCAGCCCAGCTGGCCACTCACTTGGTGGTACCACTGCCCCCAGTGGACACTGAAGGATAGCTCTCCCCTGCAGGCTCACTGCCCCTATTGGTCGCTCTCAGTATCTCATCCCTCCAAACAGCAGCCCCTTTCTTTCCATGTTATGGAAAAGAGTCTCATTTTCCAGGGGCTTCTGGTTGTCCTGGCACAACCAACCTCTGACTTGGCTTTAAGTTAGGAGAAGAAGAAGGTGCATAGAAAATTTGGTGGCCCTATCTCCTACTGTTTAGGTGTAGGAGGAGTTCCTGAACAAATGGACTCGCAGACAAACTCACACACAGATTGCTGCACTTAGATAGATAAACAGATTATTGGTCTCTCTTCTTACTGCATGCTTCACAAAGCTAAGTTAACAGTATATCCACTTTTCCATTATTAAAATGCTCTTAAGTTGTTTTTTTCTACCGGGCTATAATTATAGATATTCTACCCACACTTTTAAATATCTTTACAATCTTGTTGAATAGAGCAGTGGTTCCCAATCTTTTTGATACTGGGGACCAGTAAACTCATTCACAAGCTTTTGGAGGACTGGTAACATTTATTTGCATATTTGCATATGCATTAAGCAAATGATGAATATGCAAATAAATTGTTTCTGGTCTTCCCAAAGCCCCCAGTGCCAACAGGAGCGGGCCCAGTCGACTGCCCTGGACAGTTTCCTGACCCCAACCCCGAGGTATCTACTTCACCCCCATTTGGGACTGGATCTGGGCCTATGTGCATGTCACTATACTTAAGAAAGTATCTTGGTTCAGTTTACCTTAGTTTCCTATACCTGATAGAAAATAGCTAACATATATGGCTACATTGTCACTGTACTACAGGTATTCCATAAAGTATACTGTAACATGCTGGAGTTTTGAATTCACATTTTTACTGGCTTTCTGCAATAAAATTGATAACAGTATGAGGCTTGGTGAGCTCAAGTTTCTAAACAAGGCATCCTACTATCCCCAGATCTTAGAGTCAGGTTGTCATTTTGGTGCCTAAAGTAAATAATTAGATTCCTTGGGTAGCCAAGTTTTAAAATTGAGCCCACAGTATGTAACTCTATCAGAGATATATGTATCAAACACCATAACATAAAGTAATACAAGCTTATATTTTCACAGTTCATAATGATGATAATGTGACCAGATTATGAGAATTATATAGTTGTCTCGTAAGAAGGTCTTCAAAAAAGGACTTTCAGGAAACTGGAATAAGATGTATTCAAAGGTTTCTCTAACAGAGACTCCTCACCTGTGTAAAGTTACTCTTGTATATTAGTGGTTGAAGGATTGGGGTCTGCAGTTCTTGGCAGATCAACAGATACAATCATTGCAATGTCTCAAATATGAAATAGAAGACAAAGATCCAGTTTAACAAGTTGTTTCTAACCAATAAAATAAAAAATAATAAAATATGTAGATGCTAACATTTTTCGGTAGCATAAAATCTCAATAAAATCATATACATTTCAAATATGAAAATGATTGACTGATGACAGATATCTCCTAAATGTCAAGTAAACAGATACATGCTGCCTGCCACTAAACAATATGATAGGTAACCACAGGAGAATAACAATTAGAACAGCAGGTGGCATTGTGTTGAAGAAAATTAAAACATTGGGGGTGAAATCCTGGCCCTGTATAAGTCAGTGGCAAAATTTCCCCATTAAATTCAGCTGGTCCAAGATTGGTATTTGGGGTTATTTTAGATTAGTCCTGGACTATGATCACAGGGATTATATTATGGGAGATAAAAACTGAGAAGGGTATCTGACAAATATAACATGTGACCTTTTAATATTTGGGTAGCAAACTGATTATGGTTGTATGGGCCCATATTGCTCACATGCTTAAAATTAGGTAAAAGTACTTTCTTGAACTGGGGCCAAAGTCTTTCTAGCGACAGAACTAGATGTGTGTGCTGAAGTCTGTTTTTACCAAAGTAGCAACAGATTTATAATGAGAACAGATGTTTGTCCCAACTTTCATTGTCTAGGATTTTAAGGACTTCATTTTATTTATAAAGGTGCACCATTTTTTAGTTGTATCTACTCATTGAAGGGTGTAAGTAAATCTGGGGTTGCCACTTATTGGCCGTCCCTGAAGTAAATGCACATGGTCAAGAAAATTTCACTTGCAGAGCTAAGAGCCTGCTTTTTAGTAATTTTTTATCAAAAATTACTACACAACAAAATTATACAGTTTGTCTTTTGAAGTTTTCCCTGATTAAAAAGAGTTGTGACCATAACTTGAAAGAAACCATAAACACTTTCCTTACTTTGGCCTTTTAACTAACCAATATAGGAAGGCTGTTCTCTTTTATAAGACAATAATGTGATTCTTACAGTAGGCTGATTGCCACCTACTGTTTTCATGGGTGCTTATTTTCATGGGTGCACTCCAGAAAATTGCTGAATCAAGTATCTTTTAAAGTTTGCTTCTCAGGAACTTTTTATACACTGGGAGAAGTATAAAGTGGGTGGCCGAAGAAAACCAAGCACTGAAAGTTTAAGGACAAGCTACGCAACTATAAAAAATCCATCTCCCATTCTTATTGATGTACATGCAACATCTCTGACCAGGCTCTGTTCTGTATGCATTGTAGACTCTGTCTTTAATGCCACAGCACTGGATGTGGGTTGTGTTTAGATGTATTGCTGCGGAAGAAACACCCAGAAAAATTGTACTTTTGAGAGGCAAAATTTCTGCTGGGGCTTCTTTCTGATCATGGAGTGAGGTACTACACCAGTCAAAGGAGGGATTGCTGTTGTCAGCACTTACCCAAATGAGAGGGGTGTTTTCTGCTTGCTTTTCTTGGTCAGTTGTACAGGACCTGCTCACATGCTAGGCCATAATCTTACTCTCTCTCTATATATATACAAAAAATTCCTATGGGATGACAAAGTGACGTCATCATGTCACTCTGCATCCACCGCCTGCCTCCACCCTCAGCTGCACGGCCTCCTCCCTTCCTTCCCCCTTCCCAGTGCTTCATGGTGTGGGAACCAGGGCTTCCACTCTGTAGCTTCTGCCTTCCCCAGCAGCTGAGGGAAGAGCCAGGTCTGCTACAGCCTTGGCTCAGCCCTCCCTGATGGCCGCAGGGCTTGGAGCTGGGGCTGCCACACCACAGCCTCGTCCTTCCCCAGTGGCTGGGAGGGACAGCCATGGCTGCAGTGGCCCAGCCCTCCCCAGTGGCTGGGGGGAGAGACAGGACTATGGTGGCCTTGGCACAGCCTCAGCTCGGCCCTTCCTGGCATCCAGGAAAGAGCTGGGTCTGCCTACCCCCAGAGAGAGGGGGGTTGGCAAGCAAAGTAAGCAGGGGGTGCAGCCCTGGAGTATATTTTAGAAATGTCTGTCTGTCTGTCCATCTGTGAATCCATTTGTTCAGGAATTCCTCCTAAAGAGTAAGAGCTAGGGCCACCAAATTTGGTATGCAGTTTCCTCTTATTATAACTTAAAGCAAAGTCAGGGTTTGGTTGTGCCAGGGCAATGGGATGTGCCTGAAATGTGATTGTTTCTCATAAGATGGAAATAGAGGTATCTGGTAGAAGGGAGTTATATTGTAGAATGACCACAGGAGGGCAGCAAGGGGCCAGAGATGGGGACAGGGACACCTATAACCACATTGGGGCAGCAGGTAGAAGGGGTGGAGAAAGGAACAGCTATCTACTATATATTTGAGAGAGTTTGTCTGTTTGAATGTCTGTTTGTGTATCTATGGGTACATCTACACAGCAAGGCTAAAGCTGAAATAAGCTATGCAACTTGAGCTACATCAATTGTGTAGCTTAAGTTGAAATAGCTTGTTTCAGCTTTTGGCGCTGTCTACGCCGCAGGAAGTCTGAGGAAGAGCACTCTTTCTTGGATTTCCTTTACTCCTTGTACATTGAGGGTTACAGGAGTCAGCATTAGACATCCTCCAGCTCGACATTATTTTGACATTGTGTAGAATAACTGCTTGTAGTGTAGATGCAGACTATGTTCTTTTGGAATAATATCAGCTATTCAGAAATAACACTGCTGCGTAGACACAACCTCTCTGTCCTTCAGGTGGGGGACATGCACCCCTCCTCTGGCTGTGCCTGCTGCAGCCATAGACAGGTGCTTCTCACATCATCCCATGCTGCTGTGGTGACAGAGGGCTGAGGTTGCCTACTTTCCCTGGGGCAGCATGCATACTGAACCCCTCTTCCCCAGCCCCATCACAGAACAATGATTTGATTGAAGAAAAATAAAACTTATTTGACTTAAGGACCCAAGCAACACTTCTAGTGCAGTGTTTCTTAAACTTTTTGAGACCACGGAACACTAAACAATAATCTTTTTTTATGCAGAACACCTATGAAAATTTTCTTTAAAAAAATTATCAGACAAAAAAAGACAAAAACAAAGAAGAAGTCATGGCACAACCTGCGAGTTGTTCATGGAACACCAGTGTTCTGCGGAACATAGTTTAAGAAACACTGTTCTACTGTATACAGTATTTTAAATACACTCAACCAAGCTGCCACAATCAAAGTGCAAAAATGTGTTTTGTTTTGTTTTTTATTGAGGAAAAAATAGAATTTTAAGGTGCAGTTCCCAGAGTGTTTTAAGAGCTGGAAGACTTCAGAGGAAGTAAACCTAACATCACAGGATTGGTAGCATTGTGTGAACATTCAGAAAGTTACCCAAGGTTGTGGTCTATATAGACTGGAAATCTAATATCAGATTCATTGCAAATCAATTATTTTATATAAACGTTGTATTTTCTAGAATTAGGAGTATCTATTAAAAATAATGAGGTTTTGTAGGTACTCATCTTCCAGAGCTATTCCCAGGAGATACCAAGGATTTAGTAAATTTGACTTCAGAAATATTGCTGTAGGCAATAAAATCTACAAAAGCTAACAAAGCCCAGAAGGTAGGTTGCCTTCTGGCAGACTATTAGAAAACATTTTTTTTCAGCAACTTAATATATTCTTGAAAATAGTAATTATTTTGATTGGAGCTGTTTGTGTTTTTAAAAATGTCTCAGGGCCCACTTGTGCAAACATGTCCACAGAAGAGTAACTTCACCTGTGTGAGTCATCCCACTGAATTTGACTAGAACTACTCATACGTAAACATTAGGGGTGCATCTACACAGCAGGGCTTAACTAGAAATAAGCCATTCAAATTGAACTGCATCAAATGCGTAGCTTATTTCAAAATAGCTTTTTTCAAAATTGGGAGCATCTACACAGCACTTATTTTGAAATACAGCACTCTTCCTCCGACTTCCCTTACTCCTTGTACAATGAGGCTACGTCTAGACTGGCATGATTTTCCACAAATGCTTTTAACAGAAAAGTTTGTCCGTTAAAAGCATTTGCGGAAAAGAGCATCTAGATTGGCACGGATGCTTTTCCACAAAAGCACTTTTTGCGGAAAAGCATCCATGCCAATCTAGATGTGGTTTTGCGCAAGAAAGCCCCGATCGCCATTTTTGCGATCAGGGTTTTTTTGCACAAAACAATACCGCGTTTACACTGGCCCTCTTGCGCAAAAGCATTTGCACAAGAGGGCTTTTGCCCCAACGGGAGCAGCACAGTATTTCCACAAGAATACTGACAATCTTACATAAGATCGTCAGTGTTCTTGCGGAAATTCAAGCAGCCAGCGTAGACAGCTGGCAAGTTTTTCCACAAAAGCAGCTGCTTTTGCGGAAAAACTTGCCAGTCTAGACGCAACCTGAGGGTTACAGGAGTTGGAGTAAGAAGTCCTCCAACTTGACAGAATTTTGACATTATTTTGAAATAACTGCCTGCTGTGTAGATGATAAGTTATTTTGAAGTAATGCTAGTTATTCTGAAATAATGTTGCTGTGTAGACGTACCCTAGCAGAATTGGGATTTTTAACAGATGGATTATGCATATACCTGTGCTTTGCAAGAAAAGTTGTTCGGATGAGCTGTGGGAGAGTTGCTTACAGTTCCCTGGCTCTCCACTACCTAGACTCAATATAAATTTAAGCTCCAAGGAGATGGTTTTAGCTTATACTACTGACAAAAAATCTCTTGAAGAGCTTATAGAAGTAGAGAATAGGGTGTAGCAGAATTGTTCTCCAGCAGTTCCCTCCTCTGCTATGGCCCCAAATTCAGGGCTGGACAAACTTTTGGACTGAGGGCAATATCCAGGCATGGCTCTTGAGGGTGGAGCCATGGGAGACCGGGAGAGGTTTGGGCATGCTGCTCCGTGTGTGTGTGCTGCATAGAGGAAGAGTTTTGATCTTGGAAAGAGCACAGTGAAGTTGCACCTGTACAGACTGGCTCTGATGCTTGGCAGAAGATACAGGAGGCCCCCGACTTGCAATGCAATTAGTTCCAGGGGTAGTGTCGCAATTTGGAGGCATCATAACTCGAACCCACATTTACGGGAGGCGCTGTGTGCCGTCGTAAATGTGGGCTGAGGACATAAGTCAGGGGTTTCAACCATTACAAAAATGGTTGAAAGTGAAGGGGGTTGGAACTCAGGTGGTTGCAATTTGGGGGCCTCCTGTAATGGAATTGTGAGTTGGGGGTTGGGGAGCGCTGAACAAACAGAGGGGGGCAAGCCCCCTACTGCACTCTGTAGTGGGAGCTTGAGAACTTAAAATATTCTACAGGGCCAGAGGCTGTAGTTTGCCCATCCTTGCCCCAGAATATGATTAACACACCTCACCCCTTCCCTCTGAAGGAGAGAGTTCCACTACAGGAAACATCATAGCTAATTCATGAAGTAGTGGAGCTGTCCTTGCTAACTTTGTGCTGCCAAAGAGTCTCTCAACAAAGAGGGGATGTTCTAGTAATCTGCTTAACTTAGGATCACTTTGTACACCAGATAATGTGGCGCTGGAGGCTAATCCAGCAGAGAACATCTGCAAATAAGGAGTACAATGTTCAAAAGTGATTTATCACTTAAAAGCCTAAGGGTCATTACCATTCAATAAGACTTAGGACCCTAAGTTCTTCAGGCATTTTTGAAAAACATATCTTATATGTATCTCAGTTCATCCCCCCCATCCCCATCTAATAGCTGCTCACTCTGTAGGAGGCCAGTTTGCTGGATGACCCTGATATTTAAGGAATTTCACTGGCGCTCAGGAGTTAGGAGGTTGTCTTTCAAATCCTAGGGTAGATAACGTGGCTTATTACTGAGGGTGAGAAAAGAAGAAACATGGATATAAATGTGCTGCTGCATCACAATCACTTCTCAGCTTAACATGAAAGAAAGGGGAAACCTAAACTAATTTGTTCAGAAGAGATGATAAAATATGGACCAGTAACAACCTCTTGAGAAATGAACACTAAATGTGCTCTTAGGAAAGACCTAGTTGGTGAGCAGGATGTTCTATTTACTGCCTGCAGAGGCATCTGGGAAAGGCATTGGCAAGAGGCTAGCAGTAGTGTGCTAATGGGGCAGCTGCACTGCATTCTGACTGGCTAGCTGCAAGCCTTCTGGAAATCTCTAAGGTGTAAGTGCCAGTTAATTGCAGGCTAAAGGATGGAGCTACTAGACTTCGTGCTCTGAATTGTTAGATCTGTGGAACTATAATCTTGACTCTAGTGAAAGCCCTGCTTGAAAAGCTACTAAAACTGGGCTCTCAAACTCCCGGCATATGGGACATTTACAGCTTGAGCCGTTCCACAATCTGCCCTGCATGCGACTGCTGGTATGTGAGTTCCTGTGGCCCTGAGGGTGCATGGGCCATATCCTTCCCCGAAGACCAGGCCCAGCTCTGCTCCTGACTTGCTCCTTCCTGTCCCTGCTCCACTCTCCAAACCATCCTCTACCCTGTACCCTCACATTCATCATGGCTGTGGGAGCTGAGGGGAATGGAGTGATGCAGCAGCCTCTGCTCCACTCCACCTCCATCTCCCAGGCCAGCCCAGATGCTCTGCTTTACTGTGGCAGCTGGAAGTGGAATGCCCCAGCCATCGCCTGTGTCAAAGATGGCAGCGGAGAGGAACAGAGGTTGCTATGTCACTCCACTTCCCCATGATTCTCCCTCCCCCATACTGTAGAGAGTAGGGGGACTTCACCCCAGCCTGCCCAGGGAGCCATGGGCCAATCTGAGGATGAGGGACCGTCCCATCCATAGGATGATTGGGGCAACCACTGCTGGGCCTCCCAAAGCCCAGGGCCTGGCCACTGTCCCGAACCATCCTATGAAAGGGATGGCTCTGCACACACATCCTCTGGGCCACAGGGACATGCAGGCAGCAGTGTGCAGCTAGCAGCCAGAAGTCGTTCTAGTCCGCTGCATTTTGTGTGGTGGTGGCGGGGTCCCCAGGGGTTTTTTAATCACCTGGGGCCAGCAGGAGGGGCTGGGAGACATGCAAGGGGAGGGCAGAGATCCCCCCGAACCCCTCCCAGAGGATGGGTGCCCACTGGCCTGCTAGGAGGATTTGAGGACTGGTAAATTGAATTTGAGACCCATGTACTAAAAGAAGTTTGTGATAATGACTTCAAGTTGACTTGTACAAAGATTCTATGTGATTTGTACCTGTGTTGTTTGTCTTTATTGCATCAATAAACCATCTTAGTTTGTGAACTGAACATCTGATCTTTTGGACTCTATTCTTTTCCACCCTTTCTCCCCAGACCCACACAAGAACTATGAGCCTATCACTATCCAACTGCCTATTTCCAACATTCAAGAGACAGAACAAAGTGAAGAATATGTATCTGACAAGAAGCATAGAAGATGTACAGGCAAAATTAGGGTTTGCTCATGTATATTAAGAAATAGAATAAGGCAGGGAGCTTAACAGTACTTATATGCAATCGTACTAAGAAATTAGTTGGCATACTGTTAACTTCAGCCATTAAAATAACTATTTGACGTGATAGAAATTTATAACAATTATATCAAACACTAGATTAATCACAACTTTTTCACTTATAAATTTTGAAGAATAAAATAGAGAAATTTCTGAACTTGGAACACATCAGATAACTGCCGAAATTCAATTAAACCAGATATTTTTGTTACCTTTAGAGGGTTGATCACTGCAAGCATTTTTTATATCAGTTGTAAATGTAAAGTATTTTGAAGAACCTTTCATACTCTGGTCCTGCATTTCTTGGGTACCTAAACGGCTCCATAGAGAATGCAAAAACTTCAGGAGTGGCCTGTGGGTGGGTAGCCCTTTTATATGTCTACTTTGTAATAGCTTGTATAAAAAAATCAGTATTCTTTTAAATACAATGCCCTGTAAGCCTTATTTTTGAGGAAATTTTGTATTAAATAGCCAAAGTGCTGCACAGCATTTGAAACTATTGGAATTTGGCACTGAATCTTGTAGATCAGATATCTCTATGAAGTAATAATAAAAGAGTATACTGAAACTATGAATAACATCTCAGATATGAGACAAGCACTGCATATTTATTTTAACTTCTGAACAAAGACCACAAAAACTGATAAATGATTTTCTAAGCCATGAAGTTTTGTGCATAGATGACATTTTGCTAATATCTCTCTATTCAATTTGCATTCATACTTTTCTGCTTTTTTTTTAGGACACATTCCACCAAAAATAAATAATTAAACCACAGATGAACTGTCAAAAGGGAACATTCATATTTTAACGCAACATTAACATTTTGGTAATTAACATGGAAGTTAATGCTTTTAGCAGATGTAACAACATTAGACTTGTAAATTTTAATTAAAGTTAATGGTTCACGATAGCTGTAGGGATCAGGCATCCTCTCTGGATTCTGAATACATGTCTAATGTGATTAGAAATACTAATTGAAGAAAAAAGGTCTGCAATAGTAATTATTATTTCTTTATAATCTTGCTAAATCACTACAAACTGCCCGCATACAGTTCTCAATGTATTTTATAGGAGGAGAGTTTCCTTGAAGAAATTAAAGGGGATCAACAGAACACTCAAGAGGCTTTCAATAAATTGAAAGGAGAAACATTAATTTGTATAACCCTTTCCTTCCTTATCAAAATCCCAAGAAATTCTATGAAGCTATTTGGTTACATTTCATATCACTTTTGGATTTAATTGGGAACTAATGTGTTAGCTTTAATTCCCTCAGAGGCTCTGAATTCAAATGGCAGGAAAGATGACTGGCACTGAGAACTATGACTCAAATGGATATTTCTAAGCTTCCACATAAGTTAAGAGATCAGTGGTGAGTTGTTTGGGGAGGCTGTTGGCACATGAAACATTTTTTAACAAGCATGGGGAAAAGATTGTTTTTGCTAACTGTGGCTGCATATTGTTAGCCATCTATAAAAAACACTCTAATTATATTAGGAAATGTGCACAGTATTTTTTCACATATTGTTACTGTACGATAATCTCTTGCAGGGCTGTATCCAGAGCCCATTGAAGTCAATGGAAAGATTGCCTATTCTTATTCAGACAAAACTGCCACTGAAATTTATATACTTCCACTAATATCAGGGTTGGAATCTTATTTTAGTTTTAGGAGGGTAACAGTTATTTTACTATGAGCACAATGGAAAATGACTAAGTACGGTGGAAAGGGATCTAAGGGTATGTCTATACTACCCCGCTAGTTTGAACTAGCGGGGGTAATGTAGTCATCCGCAGTTGCAAATGAAGCCCGGGATTTGAATTTCCCAGGCTTCATTTGCATGAAGCCGGCCAGCGCCATTTTTAAATGCTAGCTAGTTTGAACCCCGTGCTGCGCGGCTACACGCGGCACGGAGTAGCTAGTTCGGATTAGGCCTCGTGGAACGAGGAGTACAGCTAGTTCGGATTAGGAAGCCTAATCCAAACTAGCTACTCCGTGCCGCATGTAGCCGCGCAGCACGGGGTTCAAACTAGCTGGTATTTAAAAATGGCGCCGGCTGGCTTCATGCAAATGAAGCCCGGGAAATTCAAATCCCGGGCTTCATTTGCAACTGCGGATGACTACATTACCCCCGCTAGTTCGAACTAGCGGGGTAGTGTAGACATACCCGAAGGGTCAAAGTGGACCACAAGCTAAATATGAGTCAGTGTGACACCATTGCAAAAAAAGCAAACATCATTCTGGGATATATTAACAGGAGTGTTTTTAAGCAAGACACAAGAAGTAATTCTTTTGCTCTACTCTGCACTGATTAGGCCTCAACTGGAGTATTATGTCCAGTTCTAATGCCACATTTCAGAAAAGATGTGGACAAATTGGAAAAAGTCTAGGGAAGAGCAACAAAAATGATGAAAGATCTAGAAAACATGACCTATAAGGGAAGACTGAAAGCACTGGGTTTGTTTAGTCTGGAAAAGAGAAGACTCAGGGGGGATATGATAGCAGCTTTCAAGTATTTAAAATGTTTTTAGAAGGAGGAGGGAGAAAAATATTCTCCTTAACCTCTGAGGATAGGACAAGAAGCAATGGACTTAAATTACAGTAAGAGAGGTTTAGGTTGAACATTTGGAAAGATATCCTGTCAGAGTGGTTAAACGCTGGAATAAATTGCCTAGAGAGGCTTTGGAATCTCCATAATTGGAGATTTTTAAGAGCCAGGTAGACAAACACCTGCCAGGAATGGTCTGTATCGGCGGTTCCCAACCTTTTCCAGATGGGGACTCATTCTGACAATTCAGGAAGACTTGGTGACCCAAAGCAATTCAAAAATGGGGGGAGGAGGGGAGGCAGAGCCACCTGGGGAGACACTTAGCGACCCTTTTGAAATGTAATGGCGACCCATAGGTTGGGAAACCCTGGTCTAGATGGTGCTTGGTCTTGTGAGTGCAGGTAACTAGAACTGATGACCTCTCAAGGTTCCTTCCAATTCTAAGATTCTGTGATTTGCCATCTCCTTCCTCAGATCATAATGACTTCTTAATTATTTGTATTACAGGAGGAGTTGGGCCTTCCTTATGGTAGGTACAGAAACATAGCAGGAGACAAGTTTCAGAGAGTAAGCCGTGTTAGACTTTTTCAGCCAATACAATGGTCCTGTGGCACCTTAAAGAGTACCAGTGGGTTTGAACCCACTGTGTCAAATGCATGAAGTGGAAACTTCAATTTGGCAGGTATATAGATAGAATCATAGAATCATAGAACCATAGAACTGGAAGAGACCTCAGAAGGTCATCAAGTCCAACCCCCTGCTCTAGGCAGGACCACTCCAAACTAAATCAACCCGGCCAGGGCTTTGTCAAGCC